GCCAAGTGAGTAGTCTGACGAGGTTCCCAATTGCTCTAATGGTTGCTCTAAGGCATCTGGAATGGCTGAGGATAGCTGTATCATCAACAAAGGTACATTTTACTAGTCGTCTGCTTGTTGTGATGTCTTCTGTGTAGAGGACATATAGCGTTGGGCCAAGTATGTTGGTTTCGGGGACTCCAGCTCTAATCGAGTAATTGTCAGTCATAGCAGAATTGCCTTTCACTGCGAGTTTCCTGTCGTAAGACTTTAATAATTTGTGGGTATTTAAGTCTTTGAAGCGCATTGGAAAATCAAGGAGGTCTGTTTAGCTTTGAAGGATGGAAGCCTATCAGGAACGCACTCATTAAAAAATATATTTAGCACTATATAGGATAGTTCAGTGTCACTTTTAATATCCATACAATTGTACAAGTCTGTCCAATTATCTTGAGAAATCATATCGTTAAATTTATTATAGTCACATTTTCGAAAACATCTCATTTTAGTTGAAGAAACTAAAGGGAAGAGGGTATCAACGCAGGGGAGGCAGATTGTAAATTCCATTGTTGGATGATACCGGTCTTCAGGTACAACAAGAGCGTCACTTCTAGATACCGTATCTTCAGACGGGTCTGAAACAAACACAAGATCTAATTGTATATTTAATGAATTCCGTACAAAGCTTACTTCCTGCAACGATAGTTCTAAAAGGCCATCCACAAAATCATGAACGGAAAAAGGTATAGCGACAAGTGAGTTTGTAGGAGGAATCCAAGAAATATCAGGGAGATTAAAGTCACCCAAACCATTAAACGGTCTCTGCTAGACAGACAGATGGTGCTCCAATTTTTTTTTAACAGAGCCAGGGCGAATATAAGAACATGTAACAGAGAGATTGCAAGGAAACTTTCACACTAACAAATTCAATTTCGTTAGGGATATCAGAGTGAATTCTGTCAGATGTGAGGCTAGAGGTAAGGGAATCAGCACACCGCATAGTTTTTCATAGAACAGACCAGATACATTTAAAGAAAATGAAATAAAATAAGAAAAATAACTCAAGTAAATTTGGCACTGGGATCAAAAAGTTTACCAGAAGTTCGGCAGGTTCAGAGAAATTGTAAATTACAGTTGTAGTATGGAGCGTGAGAGAGATAGGGAATAAAAGAGTTTTAGCAAGTTAATAGAGTGTAAATTACACTAACAAAGCAAGAAGATTAAACAAATCGAATAGAAATTTTAAAATAACTATTACCACGCACCCGTTTACTGAGAGATCTAGTGAAAAACACTAACAACTGTTAGGCTAAGCTTTGTTAATAAACAAACACAAGACACTCGCACTGAATATGACAAAAACTCAGAGCACAAGAGTAAACACATCTGTTCACAAGCGACGCTAAATCGGAATGTTTATAGTTACTGCGAAGTCAATTGAGTCGTGCAGTTTTTTTGGGTCGGTTGGCAAATATGTTGGTCTGCCAGGTGAAACGTGGTCAAGCTTAGTGCTGCTTTTTTTCCTTTCCTTTCCTTTTGGAGTCATGAGACGGGACCCCCAGTGTGTGTGCTTGGCATTGTAGTCTACTGCTGCTATGAAGTGCTCGCCTAATGAGTTAAAGAACTGCATAAGCTCACCATCCAGTGAAACGAGGGGGACAGTACATGGCGGCTAGATTAAGTTGGTTACCACCATCCAGTCTAATTCATATTGATGTGGCTTGAAAATAGATAGTTCTCAAATCCTTGTAGCGGTGGTGCTTTATACAGTTTCTAATCAAGATATAAGTCCCACCGTGTGCTTTACCATCGGGATGGTTTGATGCGTAGAAGGATTAGCCTCTTAAGTTAAAGCTATATTACGTCGATATGTCTGTAAGGCAGGAAATAAGATAACTCATGTTCATGCTGTGAAACCCCGTAAGCATTCCACATGGATATACGTAGGGAAGAATTTGTTTACTTGACATTTGTCTTAATAGGTACTGATTACGCATTAGATTTTGCATAGTTGTCCGCATAAAAAGAAATGAACGCTATAAGGCTTTGCTGTAGGTTAGAGAAGTTAGCCCCTAAGTGGTTTTGTGGCTGCTTTTTTTGTCGTGTTTAGCTCTAGGGGAGATGCTTTTAAGTGCGATTTATTTGAGGAAGGAGGCTCCAATCCTGATTTTAAAGCGCTGGCAAATATCAGACTTTTTGTGGAGGACTCGGAGTCAAGGTCAAAATACGATCTAGCTGCGTTTGAAAAGAATACGTCTGGGTTTGATTTAGATGGTTTAAGCCATGCGTTTGCAAGGCGCGGCGTTGTCACTCGCTGGTGGGTTCGACTTTTTAACTCCTTATATATTGGGCAACATCTGTAGTTAGCAGTGTGTTTACTACCGCAGTTGCTGCACCCTTTAGTGCGAGGATAGACTTTGCTCGATAGGCATTGTACGGAGTCATGAAGCTCTCCACAAACTATGACCGCGTATGGCCAAGAATATTCTTGACAAATAATACATTCATACATACACAGAGCCGTCGCGTTTGTGTGGTTGTTCTACAGTAATTCTACGATGTACTACAAACGGAAGCTTGTAGATGGGTTGCACTTTGTTTTTCTTAAAAGAACTGTTATCTGGTTCGAGTTCTACCTTAAATAGCGGTTGGGGCCTCCTTTCCTTGTTTAAAATGTTGAAGACTGGTTTAGCGTTAAATCCCTTATCATCCGCCTTAGTTATTTCTGCTGGTGTAACATCAGACCCTAGGCCCTTTAATACTAATTGTGTACCCTTGCTGCTTTTTAGTTGGTACACGAAGAAGTTAATTTTTTGTCGGTTAGATGCTTTGATAAAACTCTATAATTATCTTCCGACATCATTTGAACTTTAGTTTCGTGATATTACCCCGTGCAAGGAAAATTTTATGATAGTTGTCCATTCCCGTAAGCTCCACAATTTTGTTAGCAAGAGCATTGGAGCTTTTCTCACGTGTATATATGGCGGTGGCTTTTGCTTCTTTTTAACATCTTTTTCGGGCTTGTCAGAGTTGTCCGCTAGAATTTCAAAACTATAAGTCTTGTTAGGGTAATTTTTTTGTTAGAGTTTAAAGGGCTTAATTTTCGTTTAATTTGATTGTAACGTCTTGATCACGCTGCTTTTGCTTATGAATATCGTTTTGCCTCATCTTCTAAACGCGTTTTAGTTTATTGTACTTTTCTTGAAGCAAGTATAAATTAAATCAATTAGTTAAATTTTGTTGTGCGATTTCATCGCACTAAGCGTCATTTCGCGTTTTACACTTCTTAATACGTCTCTCACTAAGCTGTAAACTTTTGTAATTTATTTTGTTTCCCGGAATTCACTAAAAAACGTCTGCATGCGGCAGACTGTTGAAGTCGACCGACACGATTATCTAGAATTGACGAACTTGTTGTTGTTGTCTCCCTTGCGTTGATACCCTAACTCCTTTACTTTTTTCAACTAAAAGTAGATGCTTTTGCAAATGTGACTATAATAAACTCAACTACAGTATTTCCCATTATAATTGGACAAATGGACTATTTTATAGTGTCCTTAACTCTTTTTTTAATGAGTGCGTTCCTGATAGTCTTGCTCCAAAGGTAGACAGGCCTCCTCGGCATACCAAGTATGTGAACCGATGTAAAATGTAATTTTCAAAGGATCCGAGTTTTATAACTTTCTTAATGTTAAGCGATAGTCTTTAACATTGCCATCATTTTGCTGAATTCTTCCAATCTACTTGTAGTTCTGTTTCTTGGTCTAATTCTAGCTACCCTAATCACTTAAACAGGGCAAATTGTATTTTTATACCCGTTACTCGTAGAGTAAAAGGGTATACTAGATTCGTCGGAAAGTATGTAACAGGCAGAAGGAAGCGTTTCCGACCCCATAAAGTATATATATTCTTGATCAGGATCACTAGCCGAGTCGATCCAGTCATGTCCGTCTGTCCGTCTGTCTGTCCGTCCGGATGAACGCTGAGATCTCGGAAACTATGGGAGCTAGGCTATTAAGATTTGGCGTGCAGATTCCTGAGCTTCTTACGCAGCGCAAGTTTGTTTCCGCAAACGCCCACAAACCGCCCAAAACTGTGGCTCCTATAGTTTTGATGCTCAAATAAAAATTTTAACTAAAATGTATTGTCCTCATTAATACCTATCGATTAACCCAAAAAAGATTTACCACGCCCACTTTAACGCCTACAAACCGCCCACTAACTTCAAAAAATCGTAAATATGAACGCGGATATCTCAGAAACTATAGAAGATATAGAATTGGGATTTCAGATTTAGATACCGTAGCCTTGTACGCAGTGCAAGTTTGTTACGCAAAGATGCCACGCCCACTTTACCGCCCACAAGCCGCCCAAATCCGTGGTGCCCACAATTTTAATGTTTAAACCTACCCACTGATCCAAAAAAAAAATTGACACGCAAACTCTAACGCCCACAAACCGCATAGCCTGTGGCGCCCACAACTTTCATGCTAGAAAAAAATGATAACTGAAATGTATTAGTCTCGTCAATACCTATCGATTGACCCAAAAAAAAGTTTGTCACGCCCACTCTAACGCCCGTGACACCTAAATCTGTCTACCGCCCACATAACCATATATTGAGATTGCGGGTAGGTGGCGCATTTCAATCTCGCTTTACTGCTTGCATATCTCCATTTCCCTTTGGTCCCTTTATCTGAGTAATGGGTATCTGATAGTCGAGGTACCCGACTATAGCGTTCTCCCTTGATTTTATTTAACTAAAACTAAAACTTAGAAAATAATTCACATTATAACCCGGCCATTTTAAAACAATTTTTTATAAAAAAAAATGTATACCGCAATATTAATAATGCTTAAAAATACATGACAATTCTAAAAAAACTAGTTTTTTAAAATCACTAAAAAATAAAGAATGTTTGCTAGTTGTTCACGGCTTACTCAATTTTCCCCTTTAACGATTTTTTTTTTAGTTTTGTATGTCAAAGAAGAGTGTATTAAAAAAAACATTTAATAAATACCAATATAAATCCTGTTCAAATATTCTTTAGGTCCCTCCAAAATAATAGTGTTATTGCGGAGGTCTGCAGCGTCCGGCCGATGCTCCAGAGAAGTCCAAGTCCTTTTGTTCAATGATGGGAATACGATCATCATACAATGTTGGGGCTTGTAAAATGATTCCAGCTGTACCAACTACAACGGCCAATGTAAATATCCACAAAAAAAGTCTATCCAACACCATAGCAACGTATTTCCAGTCCTCTTTAACCTTTTTAAAAACGAAAAATGTAAACAGTAGATTATATTTATTTGTAAGTGGTAAAGGGTGTATTGTATACGTTGAAACGTATAGAGTAGAGTTTAAACAAGGAAGAACGCTATTGTCGAGTACCTCGACTATCAGATACCCGTTACCCGGTAAAGGGACCAAAGGGAAATGGAGATATGCAAGCAGCAAAGCGAGCCACCTACCAGTGATCTCAATATATAGTTATGTAGGCGGAAGACAGATTTAAGCGTTATGGGCGTTAGAGTGGGCGTGCAAATTTTTTAGATCAAGCGATAGGTATTGGCGAGACCAATACATTTTTTATTTAGCATGAAAATTTTGGGCATCACAGGCTTGGGCGGTATGTGGGCGTTAGAGTGGGGGTGGCAGTGCAAACGTGCGCTGCGTACAAGGCTACGGAATCTTAATCTGAGATCCCAATTCTCTATTTTTGATAGTTTCCGAGATATCCACATTCATATCTACGATTTTTTGAAGTTTGTGGGCGGTTTGTGGGCGTTAAAGTGGGCGTGGCAAACTTTTTTTTGGGTCTATCGATAGGTATTGATGAGAACAATACATTTCAGTTAAAGTTTTTATTCTAGCATCATAACTGTAGGAGTCACACTTTTGGGCGGTTTGTGGGCGTTAGAGTGGGCGTGGCACGCTGCTGAAACAAACTTGCGCTGCGTACGAAGCTCAGGAATCTAGCACTATAGTTTCCGAGATCTCACCGTTCATCCGGACGGACAGACATACGGACAGACGGAAACGCTGCCTTCTGCCTGTTACATACTTTCCGACGAATCTAGTATACCCTTTTACTCTACGAGTAACAGGTATAAAAACGACTTAATAATGTTGTAAAACTAAGTGGCATAGGTAACGACCCCATCTGTAGCACATTGCAAATTTTGTCTCATATAATTGTTGACCAGTATTGCCTAGAGAATTTATTACATGTTGTAATGGACAAATACAATGTTTTAATACAATACAATGTTTTAATGGGCTCCGAAATAACAAGTATAACAATATATGCAGAAAATTCACTATTGACAAAAAAAAGATGTCGTAACTTTTGTTAATTATAAAAATCTTGTAGATTTTAGACGCTCGTTGGCAGAGTAACAACATACCATATTTTTTTACCCGCAAACACCTGGATACATTTTATTTAGCATATTAAGCCTCCTTAAGTCCGCCAATTTTGTCCTATTCCTCTCTGTCCATTGTGACGGCTTTACATCCAAAGTAATGTTATGAATAGTCGTTAATTTAAATATAAAATTGTTTTATTTGTATTTGATTGCTGTTGGACTTTAATTTACTTAACTCACTATTAAATCTGTACTTTCTATCTTTATTGAATGACCGATCACGATATAGACTGCCTTCTTAATTCAAATTGTATCCAACGAACCTCAACCAGAAGCTCTTCTTTTTCAAGCTTCTATAACTTTATTTTTTGTTTAAATTAAAATAACGCTGACTTATGCAATTTGATTGAAAATTTCAACGCAATGTGATGTGATCATAGAATGCAAATGTTTGGGCTTCGACCGTGAGAGTTTGGTCTTCGAAAGGAATTACGATTGGTTTATTTATCTTAGCAAGACAGCCAACCCTCTAAGGCAAAGTCAGAATTATAAACAAAGGCAATGTCTCTGAAGGCAAAGGCAATATCGCTGAGATTGAATTTAAAAAATTGTTTATTAATTCCATTGTAGTATGCATGTATCATTGTAGCGAGAACCCACTGTACCGACACCAACATTGAGTTACAGTGTACTTAAACAAATACAACAAGGAAGATAGCTATAGTCGAGTACCTCGACTGTCAGATACCCGTTACTCAGCTATATGGAGATATGCAAGCAGCAAAGCGAGATTAAAATGCGCCACCTACCGGCGGTATACAGATTTAAGCGTTATGGGCGTTAGAGTGGGCGTGGCAAATTCATCAATCGATAGGTATCGACGAGACCAATACATTTCAGTTAAAATTTTTTATCTAGCATGAAAATTGTGGGCGTCACAGGTTTTCGCGGTTTGTGGGCGTTAAAGTGGGCGTGGCAAACTTTTTTTGGGTCAATCGATAGGTATTGATGAGAACAACACATTTCAGTTAAAATTTTTATTCTAGCATCAAAATTGTAGGAGCCACAGTTTCGGGCGGTTTGTGGGCGTTAGAGTGGGCGTGGCACTGTGCCGAAACAAACTTGCGCTGCGTAAGAAGCTCAGGAATCTGCACGCCAAATCTCAATAGCCTAGCTCCCATAGTTTCCGAGATCTCAGCGTTCATCCGGACGGACAGACAGACGGACAGACGGACAGACGGACATGGCTAGATCGACTCGGCTAGTGATCCTGATCAAGAATATATATACTTTTCGGGGTCGGAAACGCTTCCTTCTGCCTGTTACATACTTTCCGACGAATCTAGTATACCATTTTACTCTACGAGTAACGGGTATAAAAATGCTGGCCGCTAAACTTTTGCGACCAGCCGAAATATGAATGCGCCTCAGAGCCCAACTCATGGGAAGTGCTAGTGTCAGCATATTCCCATGGCCTGAGTGCAGACACATACAAGGCATGCATGTACAACTTCTCTCGCGCTCTCAGTGATACCAGCACAAATACAATTGCGAGCACATACTTCGATATATATATGACGCCCGCTGCCAATGTTTGCAGGCAGCGCGGCCGCCAATAGCTAGCTGTAATTCATTCATATTTTGACAATTGCTAAATAAAGATCTACCCATGGCAGTTGTAACAAATGACAAATCTTTTTATAAAAATATAATGGGAAACATAACAACATAAGTGGAACAGTTTCACGGGTTGAATGACTCTTCCCCTTCTAAAAAGGATCTTCGTTAATAGGTTTTTCTAGTTCTGGCCGTTGTTTTTTTATTGAAAATATATTTTTGTATTTAATAACATGTAAAGAAATCGTAAAGATAATTATTAAAATTAATATTACAAAGAATATACTTATTGTGGTTTTATTAATTTTATTGAATGGATTTAAAATGTTTATACTATCTAAAGAGAGTTCCGAGCTATCGAATAGAATGTAATTGAATATTTAATAATTTTTGAAGTGATTCGTAGATATATAGTCAAGAACTCTGATCTCTAAATTGGTATATGAAACGTTAATAGGATTGACCCTTTTAATTCGGAGTTGACAATATTATTACCATTTATTAAAATGACACCATCTTTAATAATATCTATTTATATTTTTCTTTTTCATATTTTTTTTTACAAATTTATTTCTTTCCTTAATAACCGGGTAAAACAAGTTTTTTCCAAACTTAAGATGAAATAATTATTAACGAGTTCTCTCCTTAATGTAGACATTTCATAATATGTATTGGCGCATTTTGCACTTGATTACTTATTAATAATTTTTCATCGGTTTGGGAAATGGCGTAATACAACCCGCATCTGTGTTATATTGTTGGGTATTATATTTACAGAAATATCCATTATGCCAGTGATAATTCCTGACATTCTTTAAATTGTTTACAATGTTTTCATTAAAAGCATAAATTTTTGATAGGGTGATAGTATCAATTAAATTTTGGGGGTCAAATGTCAATATTCGTAGGCGATGTTTTTTTTTTGATGGTAGATTTTGTTCTATGAAAACTTGATTGATTTAATTTCATGGATTTTATTTTGTTCTTTAATGAAAGCATCATACTCCGGAGATCCAGCTAACCATTTCCGCAAGGTGCCTAACTCATTTATTCCCCTTCTTGATCTAGATGATATTAACTCAGACAAAATTAATTCGATTACTTCTATATCGTATTTAATTTCCTATTGTGCCCTCTTGTTAGAATTCCATTTAATATTATTTAATTCTATATTTATTATTTCTTTATAAAAACTTAAAATAGTTACGTGGATTAAATCGTTCTATCATTTATAAGTAAGAACATCCTTGTTGTCCCTAAACAGAAAATATTCAGGGTTCGAGTAATCAATTATTTCTGATCTGGCCAATATTATGATTGACAAAAGAGGTATTAAGGAATGCATTTTCTGTAAGTTGAAAAAAATAATTTATTAATCCTTAATATTATTTTTTTTAATATTGATTATTATTTTATTAGGCATACCCTTCTTAACTACTTGTTATACCCGTTACTGGTAGAGAAAAAGGGTATACTGGATTCGTTGGAAAGTATGTTAGAGGTAAAGGGAAGCGTTTCCGACCCCAAAGTAAAGTAAAGTATGTATATTCTTCATCAGGATCACTATCCGAGTCGATCTGGCCTGCATCTGTGATCTCGGAAACAATAGAAGCTGCAATGCTGGGATTAGGCATGCAGATTCTAAAGATTCCTGCGCAGCGCATGTTTGTTTCGTCAGTGTGCCACGCCCACTCTAACGCCCACAAACCGCCCAAAGCAATGGCCCCTACAGTGCTAGATTAAAAATTACCAATCGATTGACCCAAACAAAAAGTTCGCCACGCCCACTTTACCGTCCAGCAACTTCAAAAAATTGTAAATATGAACGCTGATATCTCGGAAACTATCAAAAATAGAGAACAAGCCACACTAGAAAAAACACGAAAGGAAGTTAACATCGGCAAGCCGAGGTTTGTATACCCTTGCCGTTATAATTATTAAATTTAAAAATACAAAAAATGATACTCCCAATAGTATAAGATAATATGTCACAAAACACCGAAGCTATAATTTGTTTCATATTATTTCCCCACCAATTTTCCGATCGTCCCTATGGCAGCTATATGATATAGTCGTCCGATTTTGATAAAATAAAATTCGAAATTCAGAACTAATTAAATCAAAAAAATAATAAAAACAAATTTTTTTCCGATTATTCCTATGAGAGCTGTAAGATGTGTTTGTCCGATCCTGCTGGATCCAACTTATATACTACCTGCAAATGAAATAAGACCTTTGGAAAAGTTTCAGCCCTATAACTTTAAAACTGAAAAACTAGTTTGC